AATCCGCCCTAATTTTTTAATATTTTATTTTACAATTTTTTTTTTTTAACATGATATGATATGGTTTACAAAATTTATGATTAATACAATGTTTGAAATTTTACATAACATTTGAATTTTTACATGATTATTAGTTTTCTTACAATTTTGATTAAACATTTTATATAATGTGATTAACAATATTAATATTTTTTTTTAAATGTATATGATAATTGAATACAATATGAAAGTTAATTACCTTAATAGTCATTTGAATATAATATAATATTAAATAATATACTATAACATAGTTTACATTATAACTTTGAATATAATATATTTGTTAGTTATACTTTTTATTTATAATTTGTTAAATATTTTATACTAAGTTTACATTTTTTTTTTAATAATAACTCTTAAATTATTTTCACATACCCTAAAATATAAAATATAAATATTATTATGATTTTCCTTTTACTTTTTTTTATATTTATTTTTTTTTATAACACTCCATCCTCTATTAACTCATCTATTACATCGTCTAAATCATTACAAATTAAATTTGGCATTTGTGGATCTATTATTTCCAGTGCGAATCCCATAATTGGAATTAATATATTTAACATTTCCGACATATTATATGGCTCTGCCATAAGATACTATAACATACTAACTCAACTTCACTCTCATGCGTTCCTCGCTCTTCGTGATTTCCTCCTTTTAAAAATTCTTTCGCTCTAACTGTCCTTGCTTCTATACTCTCACTCATTTTCCCTTTCCTTTTTTTTTTTTTTTTTTTTCTTAAACTTATTACTATTTGCACTCACACTTCTTCTTATCTGTAATACATAAATTTATTCTCATTATTTATTCCTATACTCTACATAACTTAAATAATTTTTTTGGTGTTATTTTATTCACTATATAATTAAAAATACAATTAGTTAAAATTACATCCGTCACCGGATCATGACAATATGTTACTTCATGTTTATCTTTACAATTAATTTCGTGTGTTTCTTTTAGATTTAGTATCCTATCATTTTTGTTTACATAACCATTGTCTCTGAATAAAGTAATTTTTTATTAAATACATCCGTTAATTTTAAACTAAATATACTCATTTTTATCACCTATATTTGTTAATTCCTGGTACCTTTAATTTTTTTAATATTTTTATATCCATAAACCCACTCCATGTAACAATGACAGGTTGTGTATTGTCCGAGTACAAATATCTAGAGATGAATACCGAACCAAGACTTGTTTCCCCCTGGTGATTAACACTTATGTCAATCTGCCCCAATAAAGGTCTCAACACGTCTGGTTTTCTTCGGAATATTCCCCCTAAGTATCGTTTCAGCCTATCTACATTCTGTCTGTTGAACATTCTCAACTTGTTGTTCTCTGTTAATATTATGGGTCTTTCTTATAATTTCACTGGTTTGTACTTGTCCAAACTGTGACACATTGCCTCTGATACCAGTAACAAATCCGTTTTGTTAATATTGACAAATTCAAAATCAACAATAACGAATTTGATCTGTGGACTAAAATATTACATTATTCATTATTTCACTTAAAATTTATTAATTTTTTATAATGTACTTATTTATTTTATTTTCTATTGTTTTTTTTTTCTATCATATATTTATTTCATTTTATTTTATTTATTATTATTATTATTATTTTTTTTTTATCTTGGCGAAGGTGATCGTGATGTATGGTTAGTATGGTTTCATATATTTTTTCAATTCTCTTTCTATCAAATGGTTGAAAAAAAATAAAAATGCAAATAATACATATTACATTAATGGCGCAAAATTAAATACGTTTCAATTCTGTGAATTTATATTAATCGCCTAGTGTGTAAACCACTTATGACGATCGACGCACCACGCACACATACGCACACGACGTCTGTCAGATAACTGAGATAACTAAAAATAAATCGAATGTACAATATCACATTGGGAATTATTATAAAATTTAATTATTTGTCAACGGGCCGTCTACTGAGAAACACGGATCACGCTGAATTACGTACGTATTGTATTTAGTATATTTAATTTTTTGTTTTATTGTTAATATTGTTATGGACATCAGACATTTTTTAAAAAACCTAAGCTTTGTGATTCTCTTAATGAAGCCTCTACTGGCTCTACTTCAATTGAAATAAATAATAGTACAGTCAATATGGAGTCGTCGGAATTGTGTGTAGTTGAAAGTGCTTCGATTACCATGAATACAAAAAATAACCGTGGTCATATAATTTTAACCTATGAAAAAGATATTGGAAACTATTTGATCGTCGAAAATATTGACGATTGTTTAAAACATGAACTTTTACGTAATCCTTGGGTACCGAATACTACTTATGATTTTAATAGTGATTTGAAATCAGGAAGAACTCGAGCATTTAGACATCAATGGTTGCACGAAAACGGTTCATGGTTGACATATTCAGCTCTTGAGGGTGTGAAAGGAGCTTTTTTTAGAATATGTTTGTTGTTCAAGCCATCAATTCATAGAGATGTACAAGATGGATTTATAATAAAACCTTTTACTAAGTATAAAGATTTTCATGCATCTTCTAAAATACATTTGTCTTCAAATTGGCACACTGAATCAATGTCAAGAGCAAAAGATTTTATGGATATTATGAATTGTAAAAAAATTGGAACAAGTAAATTCTGGATTGCATAAAGAAATAGAAACTAATAGGCTAAAATTAAAACCTATTATATCAATTATTTTGTTTTGCGGAACTCACGACCTTCCCTTACGAGGGAAAAAATCAAATTCTGGTGTTTTTCATGATCTTTTGAATTTTCGTATTGAATCTGGCAATGAGATATTGAAAGATCATTTTTTAACTAATGTGGGAAATGCTAAATATTCATCCCATAGAACTCAAAATGAATTAATTACATTGTGTGGAAAAATATTAAAAGGAGAAATAGTATGTGAAGCTAATGCCGCGTATGCGTTTTCCATTATTACTGACGAATCAGCAGATATTTCTGGTGTTGAGCAGCTAACAATTGTAATTAGATTTTTAGTCAAACAGTCAAAGATTCGAGAAGAATTCCTTGGCTTTTTACCATTAGACAAATTAGACGCAGAATCAGTTGCTTCTAAAATTTTATCATTTATGGAAGATAGTGTTCTTAATTTAAGTAAATTTTGTGGACAAGGTTATGACGGCTGTGCTACAATGGCTAGAAAAGTAGGCGGTGTTGCTAAATTAATTCGTGACCGATATAATAAAGCTTTATATTTCCATGTTGCTAGTCACCGATTAAATTTAGTAATTAACGATCTAAACAAAGTTATGGTTATTCGTAATACTATTGGTACAATAAAAGAAATTATAAAATTTTATCGCGAAAGTACTCTTCGAAGAAATCTTATACCTAATATACTACTTTTTT